TCTATCTATCTATCTATCTATCTATCTATCTATCTATCTATCTATCTTCTATCTACCTACCATCTCATAATATTAGTTTATCTTGGGTCCTCTTTTATTTAGTCATTTAAAAAAAACATTGAACTAGTTTCTTGAGGAAAAAATGGATTTTATTTGCTTAGTAGCCCCACCTTTTCTTTTCAAGCATCTTAAGAACAAACAATGCAAAGTATTTCCATAGCAGAATCTCTTAAGAACAACCCCTTTGTTCTTCCTTCTGCTGAGAGCCATGCCTAATACTTTGAAGCGATAGCTGCCATGTGCTTTGCCAGGTAGATTTTTCTGGGTTACCAGTGAAATGTATCCTAATCCTGATTCTCTATAGATTCTAATCCATCTTTGCTATTTCATCAGATCATATTCTGTTCTGATAATCATGTTTTGTTTCCTAGATGCTACAGACACACATTAGATGCTAAATCCAAAGAAAGAAGCAGCAGTTCTGATTTTAGAGAGAGAAAGCTTCTATGGCTGCTGACAGAGAATATATTTTAAAAACCTTTGTTCTGTTGGCAAAGGGAACAAAAGGCAGAGCTCCTTTCTCTCAAGCAGACCCCCCCTCCACTTCTGTCTAAGCAGGTTTCACTGTACTAGGAGAGAAAAGTGATCAAATGTAGATAGTTCCCACACATCCTGATGACAGAAGCAACCTTACCTTTGATAGTTGCCTCCTGAGGCTGAAACGTTGGACCATGGTCACTTTATATCTTCAGACAAAGCGATCCAAAAGGGGAAATTGTGGGGAGGAAGCAGGGAAGAAGAAAAGAAATTGACAGCTGTCTAAGATGGTGTCAAACAATGCATGCTGCAGGCTGCCACAGACAACTCCAAGGGGATCCCTCCCAGTCTTAAAACTTCAAATCAGTTCATTGTTCTTCTAAGGGAGCTTGTAAAACATGCAAGCAGAGACAGCAGAGGAGGAGGAGGGGCAGAATCCTGAAGCGGTTCAGCCTGTGCCAAGCTTCTCAGTCATTCCTACAAGTCAGCTGAGAGGGAACATGACAGATGGACCATTCCTCTTTCTCTTTCTCTTTCTCTCTCTCTCTCTCTCTCTCAATTCATTAGCTGAATGTTAGTACAGAACCACCTGAGCCTTCAAAGGGACAGAGTCCCTCCTCTAGTTAAGATAGGGTGGGGTTTAGCAAACATGTGCCTGAAAGACCGGTAAGGAGGAAGATTAACCAACACCCTAAATCATCTTCACAAAGATTTCAGCAGCACACCTCTTGCAGGTGTCAGGTTTACAGAACGCACATGCTCACACCCACATTTCCATGCCTTTGTTTAAAAGGGCCACCTAATTTACTTAAACCTCCGAGAAAGGGTGGGGGGAAGGGATGTTCAGCAAGGGCTTGGAGGATGCCGGAGGCACAGCAGCTGCAGGGCTGTGCTTAGAGTTACCACCACTTCCTCTTTACTCACAGAGAACTGACACCGCAAGGGAGATCACCTGGTAGAACTGCACATATTATAACAATAACATCAATTCTGCTTGCTGTATAAAAGCTGCCAAATTATTAATAACCAACTACTAAGTACTAACAAAAACCCAGAATGGGTGGGGTGGGGGGAATTAAGGAGAATGGTTGTATTATTACTTGATTTCAAACTTCTCTTTTAACTTTGGTGATTGGTTAACCAAAATCTTGGTTTGGAAATAAAATTAAGAATGGGTAACTTGGACAGGCCCTCAAACTTTCCCTTGGGAAAAGCCATGTGGGGGCCGAAGATTAGAAACACCTACACATAAATGCCAAGTTGCTAGTCTAGAGTTACTGGTGTAGATTTTCAGAAAAGATAAGCAAAATAAAAGAATTGGAAAGCAGGTATCTTGTTAATTATTACACACATTCCCAAGACACCAAAATTGCCCGATTCAAGTAAGAAACATATTTATATTAGAACCACTTAGTCTCTCATACTGAAAATGTGAATATTTGCACAGCACCTAGCTACAGATCTATAGTAATAATGTTGGGGCATTTGTTACCAGTTTGCATAAAAGAGTACATAATGGCAGGCCCAACCATGTTAAAATCTTTGGGCATTACAAATAAACAGTTTTCACAGAGCTGTAGAGTACAGTATCTATTAATCTGTTCCTCTCCCACTTGCATTATGCAGTACTTTAAATATTGTAATACATACGGGTAATTTTTGACTTGTAACCACATTTGGGACAAGACAGTTAAGTGAGTTGTGCCCAATTTTATGACTATTTTTTGCAGTCATTAAGAAAATCACCATGGTTGTTAATTGAATCACAGCTTCTGACTCCCCATATTGACTTACTTTGATGGAAGCCAGCTAAGAAAATAGTAAATAGGACACTGAACAGTCATAAATACCAATTGCTAAGTGCTTAATTTTTGATCATGTGACCATCTTGATGATTTAATTCTGAGAAAAGATTGTAAGTTATTTCTCTCAGGGCATAGTAACTTTGGTCACTAAATGAACGCTTATAAGTCAAGGACTACTTGTATTCAAAATATTATAAAGGTTCTGTAGCACTACAGAAATAATTTAGAAAAGCTGCTTTGGCACATTGCACCTCTCTGCAAATCTTAAGAAAGTCGGATCTTTCCTGGGATCATGTGGCTGGCTCTCCTCTGCAGCTGCAGATTCCAAAAGGGACCCGGTTGCTTTAAATAATTCAAGGTAGATGTTGGGTCTGTCCTCAGTTTGATGCCTAATCCAAAAGCAATCCATCTCCCTAAGACTTATGCATATTGCACAACTATATGAAATCTTATTTCAATGGTTATCAAACTTTCTTCTGTAATAAAAAAAATCTAGAAATTCATGGAGTGAATCTACAATAATGCTACATAATAAATCCAGTTTACATATAATTGTGTCAAAAGCCTGCATGTTCTACCAAAATTAAGGTTTCCAATAAAGCTTTTTTTTTGGGGGGGGGGGGTATTGGCATGTAGACTGACCTCTTCCATTCTACTGATGTTGGCCTCCAGTTTAGTTTGGTTAGAATCTTTATTGATTATTATTCTGTTACTTGCCACATTTCTGTAATATTCCATCAACTTCTTCAAGATTTTGGTTAACTAAGTCTTCAGATTTGGTAATGATATGAGTACTGATTGCTAATCTACCTTGATAGTGATATCTCTACTATACAGAGTTTCTTTATTTAGTTGATTTTCTTTGAATCAGTTACTACCGGTAGCTATCCACTGGCACTTTTTTAGAATACCAATTCAAAGTTGGAGCTTCCTTCAAAAATCTTTTGGAAGACTTTTCTTGTTTTTCTATGTTTGTTTCCATCTTTAATATCTTTACAAATACTGTTGTAATTGTCTCGTTTAACAGATCTCTGACCTTCTTTATTAAATTCCTTCTTGCATAATTCTCACCGAAGTCCTATCCTGGCTATATCCTTCCTGACTATGAAAGGAATGCTATTTCCTAAGTACTAAACACTATCTTCTATCAACATTGTAAACCTTGTCTAATCAAGACAAGAAGCAAATCCAGAAGAACTATACCTACTTAATTGTAAGGTTAGATTGATAGAATTTTGCAAGTCTGAAGGTACATTTGCCCCCTGTCACCTTTACAACTGAAGAAACTAGGGAAGGTCCTTTCTGAGACAATTGCCACACCTGCATTCCTGCTGCAGGCCAAGTCACCTCTTATCTAACAACTGCCCTGCCTGTGGCTCTTCCCTGTCTCCCAAAGTCATTCCTACATATCCTTACATCATCTGACCGAAAGTGTTAAATTCCAGTTCATTCAGTTTGCCAGATGCCAAAAATGTCAATATGCAGCCAATTGATTTCATTTTTCATTGGGTTGAGCATTACCATGTTCTTGCTGCTTATGTTCCATATTCATATTACTTTGCACTTCTTGTCATACATTTAACCTTTGATTTACCTGAGATATGAAAGCTAACCATCACTTACTGCATGTATCTGTCAACTCCTTTACACAAATTCAGTTGATTATTCAGTTTGATGATTTCCTTCTCCCTTCTCTTTGTTTCAGAAACATACAATGTATCTTATTGATTTAAATTTTA